TGTGTAGGCCTTCGAGACTACTATTAGATCTTATAAATGAGATGCATTCATCCTATTTGTTTGGGATTAAAAAGAGACCTGTGGTAGAATTTTCCACAATGATACGTGGTAACATGACATTTTCCTTGAATTTCACCTAGCCTTGTTCACCCTAACGGTATTTTCATCAAAGATAAACTGCAGTTTCGACTTCGCATAGGTCTTATCAACATCCCCAGCGGGACTTCAGCCATGACAGTACAGCTTGTATTCTCGAAACGTCAGCCACCACTTCACATGGCCACGAATGCCCTTGGATGACAGGGCAGATGTGAATTTCAAATAAGACCAAGCATTTGCTCATTTCACTTGCTTCATTGAAATTCACATCTAGTCAGTGACCCATGGGCACCTGCGGCCATGTGGCGTAGGGGTTAGTGTGTCGCGATTACACTCCTAACCGTCATGTTACGACTCCTGATGGAGGTGTTGATTAAACCAGTTGAGTCGAGGTCGAAATTGCAGTCTACTCCAGCCGAGATAAAAACACCTTTCGAGCAAGCAAGGATAAGTGAAATTTAATGAAAACTTCATTTCTACTCACATCATTGTCCCCTTATCGCCCAAAAATGAAATAGGATGAATAAATATCATATATAGAACTACTTATGCTTGATTAAGGGACGCAAGGATAGAGAGAATGACTAATAAAGCCAATTAACAATTGGGCAAAAGGGCTTGCTGTCGTCTTTTGGTGAGATTGACTTGAAATTGAAGAATGCTTAACTACTATGAAATAAGAAATTTCTAAAAACCTAACTTTTCTTCGCCTATGCTTAAACTTAAACTTGCTTAAAGATAGGCCAACCTTCATGTCTGTTAGAGACACCAAGTTCGTACTCTCCCATAGACGTAGGTCTTTGGACCACGCCACAGTTATAATAGAGGATTTATTCTGACATACCTATCTGTACATTATAGCCCCACATAGATGTGAATTTTAGTAGCCTAGTTTCACGTATGAATTGAAAGGAAACATTCATACTATAATTTTCAGCCTTAATATAGGCATCTGCCGCCGTGCCAAAGATGCTATTCATTTAGCTGCAAATACATTTTTAACGGACGCTTGTGCATTAAATATAAGACATAATAATTGTCCTTAAAGAAAGTGTAAATTATAGTTTGATTTAGAAGATTATTAAAAAATTATGAGACCACTTTGTAACCTTTACATTGAATTAAATGCAACGTCAGACAACTCAAATAGTGTTAGCTTGAATGCAAGGTTGCTTCCCCATTCATACAAACTGTTATATTCTTTACTCCTCTGGAATGTTAGCAGCAATACTTGTGAAGTTTGCAATTCAATGGAGTCTAACAAAAATCTCAGTAAATGTCATAACGTTCCATGCAAGAGGAATAAACTTTCGACGAGTATCAGTGAGTTTGTGACTACTCCAAAGTGTGATGAATCTTAATTTAATATTCATTCTCAGCCAAAACATGTAACTCGTAATTTCCAAATTAAAACGCCTTTACTCAAAATAAATTCTCCATTTTGCAGTAGAAATGGCTTAGCTCGATTTACCTCATTACCGAATTCGATAAGGAAAATTAAAACTTGCTGTAATTCACAGGCGAAAAGCATGTGCATTCGAATGGATATCCTATTTTACTAACTTAAGTGTGTGATGAAGCATGAGACTGATCGAAACTGCAGTTAAACCGTAATCATAAAACCCTTTACTGCAAAGTTTATGAAGAAATAAAGTATATATAGCCATTGGTAAAATCCGCATCCTCCTTTTAAAACAGGCTCTCTTGACATTTTTAAGCAAATCTTCCAGTAATGTTGTGATATATACCCGCTCGCTAGAATGCTTAAAGCAAATAAATATTCATTCAAACAAACAGAGTTCGCTTCGCTCATGCGACACTTCTGCCTATCTCATTCACTTTAAGCCTCTATAAGAATCCGCTTTTAACATAACAATTCTCTGACCTACTGGCTGCAAGTTAGGACTTTCCATAAAGATTTGGTCCCAGGCGAAATCACACACTAAGCCGTTATCATCGTTTGGCGGATTTCTTCCACCGGTTCAAGAGATCATCAATGACGACTCTTCCTTGCATAGAATTTGAAAGACCTCTTCATCGAAAAGAATGACCTACTAGGTTCTAACGAGTTCCTGTGAGGGTGGGACAAACAACAACTCATTAGATTCATTCTAAGGCATTCATCAAGCTTTTTGAACTGTAGCTGCCGTGGGAGGAGTTTGGATGGGGCTTGCTTACATGTCATTTTTTGCGAACTGCTTACTCTGAGAATATACCCTTTCGGCACCGACAAATCCACCTGTAATACGCCTTAAGTATGTCATCATATACACAGCACAATTCGCCAAGTATGTCCTCTCGGGAAACCATTGTGATATGAAAAAAATTATACATGTTCTCCTGAAGGCGGATGAGGTGAAAACAGACAAATCTGTATACATGTTTATAGCACAAATAGATGAAGCATCACTGTGAACGATTGAACAAGCCGCCCTATTAGACACTTTACCATCGCTAAAACAGAAGCAACATCGTGGGATTTTTAAAAATTAACAGAGTCGCCTTCTTGCCTATGATTCTCTGATGATCGACCTATTGCCTCTGAAGGACAGGAGAATGAGGCCAAGATTCTGCTTATCAACGGGACGAAATCAGACCAAAAAGCTACAGCTTAATGAGTGCCAAATTATTTTAAATCATCAAATATAACCCATTCAAATAAACCATCTCTTGCAGGCATACACCACACACGCGGACTAGCATGATGATAGGAGTTTATGTGGAGCAAGGCATTGTGCACACAAGGTTGACTGACTGACCTTCCAAAGTTTCTGCCAACAATACAGTGCCAAGTGGGATTGTACTTTCTGTCGAACTCCTTCTTAATGTAAGCTGCAATATCCTTCTCTATGTTATACTTTTCCATTGCCATGGCACACAATTCCACCGCATCCTGTTGCATGTCTTCGGCCATATCGGCATTCTTGATAACGGCTCGTCGATCAGTGGCCATCCTGGTATCAAGTCTTGTGGTCTACTCGTAGACTAGTGTGAAGAAATAAGAAATTCCAGCCAAGTGCTATTTCGCTTTGCTTATATACAAGGAATGTCAGACTTATATTCTCTTTCTCCGAGGGTAGGTGAGCGCTGACACTGACAAACACACGAGTAGCCAAGCACATATCCACATCACGTCAAGACAAGCAAGAAGCAATCCGACTAATCAATGCCTAATCTCTACCTCTAACTATTCAGTCCTTCTTCTAGTCCTCAATTCTGACGTCCCTCACTCTACTCACACATGTGCATTTTTAATTTTGTGCATGCATGTATATCAGATTTTAGTCCGGTCAACTCACTCACTCCATAGTATCCTTCACGAGTTATGAATTTCGTCCTTAACACGATCTCTGCTTTAGCATATAGATAGGAATAAAAAGCATACCATCAAGTATTCATACAAATTTACTCTCGTTCATTCGGTTTTATGCTTACAAATATAAGTGTGCATATTTTGTATGCATTGAGGCCAAGAATGCCCTTAAGGTGGCTCTTATGTCAGGAGGCCTTCGTTGAAATAGTAGCCTGCCTGCCGAGTTTTGAGTCCAAGCTACTGTAGCCTCCAGAGACGGGACAGCTTTTACAGTTCTTTAGCTGAAAACAGATAAAAGGCAATGCTGCAGGTACTGTTTACAAAATTTTTTGCATCAATGCCAGAACGGCTTACTAATATAGACAAATAACACTTGTTTGCGCAAGGAACATTTGGTAATGCACACAACTCTGCCTGCGGTTTGGCTGAGTAATTCAGCCCCATATCCAACCACTTATGCAGCCTCGTATGGTATGTTGATTTGGGGACATTTCTAGATTAATCAATAGGCCTTGACTCATCATAGGCTTGAATGTGTGGGATGTCCCTAGATTATCCAAAAGAAATGACAGAATCCCTATGACCTGTCTTTAGGAAAGATACTTTCTACTTGTTGGTTGGAGGCATTAGTTTAGGTTGGCAGAAGGTTAACCAAAAAAATAGCCCAAATCCAACGTAAGAGTGGCTCATACGATACATTTTAAACTAATCTTGTTAACGATAAATAATTAAGAATCCTTCTGTAAAAAACATAAAAGTGCCAGTTTTAGTACACTGTGGACAAACAGGTGTACTTCGAAAATTTGAATTGAAAACGTTTGGATTTATGCCTAAAAAGGTCAACATAAAAATAGAAAATATCAAATAAAGGCAAGGAGTAATTATAATATTTGTGTCAAATGGTAAGAGAGGGGACAAGTGTAACGAAGTATTTAAAATGTTGAAGCCATGATCAGCCATAATACAAGCTTTGAAATGATTTTCACTTGGAAGAAATTTTGTAAAATTTAAAATTAAAAAAATGATATAACTTACATTTTACTATCCCAATCATAGTTTGTGCAACTTATTGCATCGCAATAATGAAATAATTAATATGTACGCAAGCCATATTCGACTTTTTAAATTTTGTATAATTAAAAATTATGATCACTAAAAGAAATCTTCAGAGAGTATATAAAGCTTTGCTAAATGTTGAATTATGGTAAAGATAGGGAAATTATACTCTTTTATGAGGATTACATTCAGATTTGTACAAAACTTGTTTAACACTCTTAGCTGTGAAGATGTCGTGAAGTTACAAACATTGGCTGATAATCGAAGGTAATAAGATCAAGATTGTGGGTCTCTTTTTTGATCACCGTCTACTCTCTTTGCATATAGGCGGTTTGACCTCGTTCACACAGCTTTGCCATGCTGTATGGAAGCCCCTTTTCCGAAATCCCCTAATGTAGCTGTCATGATAATTTCCAGCGTTAGGCAATGATAAAACCCAGGAGTTTTACTGACTATTTCCCGGAGGAGGTTGGGAGTGATATTAAATTATAGGCTGTAACTTTAACTGTTATT